ATAAACATTATGGGTCGGGATTCCTCGTAGGAAGTTCAAGCGCGGTACACAAAGATCTGCTTTGGAAAATCAAGCCCTTTAAATTTGCTACCTCTCACAAGGACTGCTGCGTATAACAGTCAGCCCTCTCCCGTCTTGCCATATTTATTTACTTCATGGATCAGAATGATTTTTTTACCCTGTGTATTAAACTATGAGTTAGAGTTGGGTGGGTAGGACCTTAAAGTAGCATGGGAGATGACCTTGTTCTTTGGTGTGAAATACCACACTTTCAGAGATCAAGCGTTTGCAAACAGTAAATGGTCTGTAATTTAGCATTAGCCACCACCACGGCATGTTCTCTAATTAATGGTTCAACAGCCAACTCTCCTCTGTAAGTCGAATTTTAAACTATGAGTTAGAGTTGGGTGGGTAGGATCTTAAAGTAGCATGGGAGATGACCTTGTTTTTTTGTGTGAAATACAACACTTTCAGAGATCAAGTGTTTGCAAACAGTAAATGGTCTGTAATTTCGCATTAGCCACCACCACGGCATGTTCTCTAATTAAACAGCTAGCTTCGGGGCCTGAGATCAACGGAAACACAAGACAACTGTTCTCCCTTCTAAGGTCAAAAGCCAGGGCCTGTTTACCGCACTGTTTACCGCAGAACGAAGCACACGGGCAGAGCAGGGTGCCTCAACTTTAAATCTGGGACTAGGGCAGAACACCAAGATCACTGCCACTGGCTGAGACACGGGAGGCCAGGCCTCGCACCCACCTTTCTGACCCCGTTTCATATTTGCTAAAAACTTTTCATATCGTTTTTGCTTTTCTGGATCTTTGGCGAAAGGTTTGAAGTTGCTGGCTTTTGTGGTGGCTGTCCCACCACTCAATGCCGTGTGCCAAGAGCCGTGTCCGACGTCCTGAGAGGGGGGCTGGGTTCTGCTGCTTGCGGCATTCTGGGCCAGACTCAGGGCCCTGAGCTGAGCTGCTTTCAGGTCAGTTGCCTGCTTCATTTCTTTGAATCTCTCTTTATCTTTTTGGGACAGAAATTCTAACACTGAAGTAGCTGAACCTAAATAAAAACAATAATAGAGATGAAAAGTATCATAAGTCAAATTTACTTACATTTTTCTGTACATACACTTTCAATATCACAAATTCATGTAATTAGCGTATTTTACATTGAGTGTCTCATCTGTATTCATATTACCCCTGTAATTTAGACAGTAATAAAATATGAGCCCATTTTACAGTTGGTAAAAATAGAGGTTACTACTTGGATGTTTATCAGGCCAGCTAATGGTCCCTGAATGAGGAAGGTGACATCTCAAACTCCAGAGCTCCAGTCCCTAGTGGCCTCCATTTCCACAGTCCTGCCCAGCACAGAGTAGTTACCCATCACACACCCACTCACGTCACAAACGCTCACGGAGCACTCACTCCATGCCAGACACTGACCTGGAGCTGGAGGACAATGCAGACAAGGTCCTGCTCTCATGAATGAGGAAGAAGGACATTAAAGAAGCCAAAAATCAACACCAGAGGATTGCTATGAGAGGAGTACTGTGGGGGGAAATAGGGTGATGTGATTGAGGGTGACTTAAGTGAGAGGGCTGGGTGTGGGGGTGGAGGGAGAGATAATAGCTTATATGGTGGGCGGGGAAAGCCTGGAAGGTCCCTCTAAAGAGAGAATATTTGAGGTAACCTCTAAATCAGTGCTTCTCGAACTCTTACCATTTGCAACGGCATGGATGGAACTGGAGAGCATTATGCTAAGTGAAATAAGCCAGTCAATGAAGGAAAAATACCACATGATCTCACTCATTCATGGATAATTGAGACCATTATAAACTTTTGAACAATAATAGATACAGAAGCAGAGCTGCCTCAAACAGATTGTCAAACTGCAGCGGGAAGGCCGGGGCCTTTAATACAGTTCCTCATGTTGTGGTGACGCCCAATTTCATTGTTACAAATTGAACATAATTAAAGCATAGTGGTTAATCATAAAAACAATATGTAATTATATATGTGTTTTCCAATGGTCTTAGGTGACCCCTGTGAAAGGGTTGTTTGAACCCCAAAGGGGTCGCGACCCACAGGTTGAGAACCGCTGCTCTAAATAAAAAGAAGAAGCCAAAATATAAGGGAAGGCCCAGCTGGTACGGCTCAGTGGTTGAGCGTCAGCCTATGAACCAGAAGTTCAGAGTTCGATTCCCAGTCAGGACACATGCCCAGGTTGCAGACTTGATCCAAATGTGGGCCATGCAAGAGGCAGCTGATCAATGATTCTCTCCCATCACTGATGTTTCTATCTCTCTCTCCCTCACCTTGCCTCTCTGAAATCAATAAAAATATATTTTTTAAAAGGAAGAAGTACTGGTGGCCCTGGCCAGGTGGCTCAGTTGGTTAGAGAGTCATCTCAATATGCCAAGGTTGCGGTTCAATCTCCGGTCAGGGCACATACAAGAATCAACCAATGAATGCCTAAACAAGTGGAACAACAAGTCAGTGTTTCTCTGTCTCTTCCTCTCTCTCTAATCGATAAATAGAAATAAACAACAACAAAAAAAGAAGTACTAGATCATTTTAAGGGGAACAGTGATATAAGTTGGTTCACCTAGCTACTGTTAAGGGGGATGACTGCAGAGGACAAATAAGACCAATCAGGAAGCCACTGCAATAGTCCAGCTGAGAGTAGATGGGCATTCAGACCACAGGGGAAGCAGCAGAAATGCAGAAAAGTCCATGGAGTCCCCATGCCTATTTGGGGTAGAAATGAGAGGACTCGCTGTGGATAGGGTCAGGGAGGGAAGGAAAGGGAGGAGCTAAGAACTAGAATTCCTACATTCTGATCTGAGCAGTGGGTCACATTTACTGAGAAGGGGAAGACTGGAGAAAAAGCAAGTTTGGGGAAAGAAGTGGGAACCAAGACTTCTGTTTGGGTCTATTCTATTTGAGATACCTATTAGGCTCCCAAAGGGCAAGTACAAGTTCATCTTGCTTAGTGGGTCTTTCTGCTCCAACATACAGGGGATGCTCCACATCTGTCCACACTTTCACATGCATCATTCCTTTCAGGCTTTCAGGAAAAGTGCTGCAGTACCCCTTTCCCCTGAGGAAAAAATCCTGTTCCCAGGCTGTGCAGAGAAAGTGAAGGTACACATGTCCCTAATCTTCGTCACATTGCTGAACAATTATTAAAATCTGCAAACTGCTGAGCTTAAGGTAAGGGTTGTAATCTCAATGACATAACTGAAACTGATGGTGGGAAACAACTCTTAAGAAGTAAAGGATGTACACTTACGTTTATGTACAATAAACAATTTTATTCCCAGTTTGGGAATACAAAATCATGGAAAACATCTTTCCATTTTGATTTTGACCACTCAGATTATTACAAATGTAATGATTTTAACCTTCTCCATGACACATACCTTGAATAGGTGTTTCTCCTAGCAACTCTCCCCGCTTGGAGGCATTCAGTTGGTGTCTACTCTGTGTCCCTGGGTCATGTATTGACTTTCCAGCTGATTCTGATAACACTTGAAGTAAGTGGGAATTCTCTGAGGTTGCAGCTACCACAGGTCTGAAATAATGCACCGGTCGATAGTCTCTTGGCAATTCAGGTGGTGGATAAATCTTTAAAAAACACACAAACACACACACACACAGAACAAAACTCTGAAAATACAGGCTGCAAGATGATGGTGTTTGATTTTACCAAGAAAACCCGTTACCTCTGAGCGTTATTAACCCAGCCTTTCCCCGGCTAATATTCAGCAGGTGGGCAGGCAGCACTGGGCACAGACTGTCCCGGTGCCCAGCCAACATCCATTCTGGGTGTGGAGGGTCACCAGAGCCACACTGTTCTAACAACCAGACGTTTTTAATGTCACCCTGCCCACCCTACACGGAGATGCTAATATGCACGTTTCATATAAGAACAAGAACGATGCCAATAACACGATGTACAGGCCCACCTGCAGAACTGGCCCACTGTATATCAGAAATTTTAGAAAAGTATGGTTCAAGGTATAGGAAAAATAACTTTAAATAAGTTAATTTTAAATTCAGAAATATTTTTCTGGTTGTTTCCATTCCAAATTGGAACTTTAGGCCTTATTGTTTTTTATCTGAGGTATTTTTTAACATTTTTTTTTTTTACTGATTTCAGAGAGGAAGTGAGAGGGAGAGAGAGAGATAGAAACATCAATGATGAGAGTGAATCATAGATAGGCTGCCTCCTGCACATTCCCTACTGGGGATCAGGCCTGCAATCCGGGCATGTGCCCTTGACCAGAACCAAACCCAGGACCCTTCAGTCCGCAGGCTGACACTCTATCCACTAAGCCAAACCAGCCAGGGCTATCTGAGGTATTTTTAATTTAAAAGCTGACTGAGCCCTGGCTGGTGTGGTTCGGTTGGTTGGGCATTGACCCATGCACAGAAAGATTGCTGGTTTGATTCCTGATCAGGGCACATGCCTGGGTTGTGGGCTCAATCCCCAGCAGGAAGCAGCCAATCAGTGTTTCACACTCAGCTAGATATTTCTATGTTTCTATGTTTTTGTCTCTCTTCCGCTCCCTCTCAAAAAATATCAATTTAAAAAAACAGCTGAATGAACTGAAACTGAAATACAGAATTTGGGAAACTCAGGCATTAACGATAGCAGAAATATGTAAGTTAAAAATAAAGTATTTAAAGAAGCATTTGCGATCTTGCTTCCTGGCATATGTCATTAGTTTGGGCTCAAATAAACTCTTTATTTATAAAAAAATGTTTAAGTATTAGACATCCTTAAATGGTCTCTTGCTCGGCAGGTGTGGCTCAATCGTTGAATTTTTTTAGGTATTAGACATCTTTAAATGGTCTCTCTTGCTCGGCAGGTGTGGCTCAATCGTTGAACAGCGACCTATAAACCAAGTCATAATTCGATTCCTGATCAGGGCACATGCCCAGGTTTCAGGCTCAATCCCCCAGTAGGGGGAGTTCAGGAAGCAGCCAATTGATGATGATGTTTCTCTCTCATCGATGTTTTATCTGTCTCTCCTTCTCCCTTTCTCTCTCTGAAATCAATAAAATCATATTTTTAGATAAATAAATGGTCTCTCACGCACTGTGGACAGTCCTAGGTGAGCTGTGTTCTAGGTTTCCCAGCTGCCTGAAACCCTGAGCCTGTAACCAGCGACGCTGAGTGCCCCCTGGCAGCACTTCTCAGCCCCCGCTGCACGCTGGGCTCGCCTGACGCTTTGAAGAGTAACGATGCCTGGATCCCACCCCACAAAATCAGCAGCAACTGGAGTTCCCCAAGTTTCCCAGATGCTGTAAGGTTCCCAGGTGGTTCCCTGTGGGGGAGCACCTGGCATGAAAAAATCTATAGAAGAGTGGTATTCTCACTGTTAGGAAATCACATTTTTCACCATCTTAACCTGATCACCTTCTCTAAAAACAGACTCCCCAGTCAGCCAGCAAACACCCTCATGTTACCAAGACACCAAAATCCAGCGGAGCATGGAAGAAAAGGGGTGCGTACACACAAGTCTTCACACCCTCCATCAGAGTCAAAGCATTTTAGAGGTGCGTGTTTAGCCACATTTTTAGAAAACTTGCCTGTCTGTGAAAAAGTAGGTGAACGTAGCACTCTTCTGAATCACTCACGCTCAAAGTGAGGAGCACCTCGGGAACCCCCGTGCCCCTCTGTCCACTTATGGCACTCTACCCTTCAGTGAACTTGTCTGTCTTGCACCCTCACTGAACAGAAGCTATTTGGGGATCAGGACTTTGTCCTATTTATCCTTGAACCCTGAGTCAAATGAGTATTTCTCAAGCATTTTTATGCTCCCCTTTCATAAATGTAAAAAACTCGCACTCTCCTTGGACATATTTGACATTTCTGTTAGTAATAACAGCTTAGTATGCATCCAACACTGTTTTAAATATATTCTGGTCACTATTACAATACATTAACTAACTATTATGACTAAACCAATGACAGCCACTGTAATGCCAAATGTAGTTTCTCAGGCTGCACTGCTCCTGGCCGCCCCAGTTCTGGAGAACCACGGGCCAAGACAAATGTTTGCTGAATGAAAAACAAGAAGCCCATTACGCAGTGTGAAACAACCTAAAAAAAAGGATGCCAACAAAATAAATGCCAGCAGCCCTTCCTCAGCTATCAGCACCCACTAACTTGTGATGTCCGCCTAGGAACAGGTGACTCTGAGGGGTGTTAAAGAGCACCACTTGCCTAAGCTGTAACAAAATCTCATAAAGACAGGACTACCTGGAAAAGCGCACAGTTCTCCCCAGACCTGACCTGCAGGTACCTGGCTTCCCTCCCTCCTGCTTGCCCAGCAAGGAGCCCAGGGAACCTCGTCCACCTTAGTTAATGCCTCAAGCATTGAGGAGGATTCAGGGCTGTGAGTCATTTCAGCTTTTTGAAAGTTTTCTAATTTTCCTTAAGTTACATTGTCCCTAGAATTTTATCAAATCCATTCTCCCACCAGTTTCTAATGTAATTTTTTAATGGATAAAACTACTCACTTTAAGTCTGGATTTAAAAGATCAGCAATTAGCTGTTTTGAATACAATGTGCCTACTGACTGCCATTTCTATTACAGGATGTTTTCCTCAATGATCGTTAGTAACTATGCTGGTGCTTTTGAAAACAGAATTTACTTATCATTCCAGTTGTTGATATAATAACTCAGCAAATATTTTAGATACTAAAACCAGAAAATAAATAAATAAATAAAAACAAAAAAACTCTTACTTTCTTAGAAGACAAAGATTTAGAAGCCAAGGAAAATCCATCCAGTATTTTGCCAATGTAGCGAAGATCTTTTTCTGATTCTACAAAATGATATCATTGATTAATTTCACAAGTATGGATAAGAATAAGACAAAGACGTCAGCTTTTAATCTCTAAGAACACAAATACTACGTGTCACCCGTGCTATCACACAGAGATAGCAGTAAAGGAGGAAATACCTCTGTTGACTCTGGCAGCCAGGCCCACACCACCCACAGTGCTTAGGCTGCCCAGGACCCAAGGTCACGGCCCTCCAGAAAAGGTGCTGGAAGTCCTAAGCTAAGGGGCACCAAAAAATACACTCTGTGGAGTAAAATATCTCAAGGAAAACCATCAAGAGAACAAATACAGATCAACATAAAAATCATAACTGTGAGAGGGTCATTTCTAAAACCAGGTGGAGAACCATGAGACTACCTCCCAATTTTCTTAGCAACAATACAACCAGGTCAGCCGGTAACCTAATCTTAGTACAAATTAAAAGGCACTTTTGTCTTTTTCTCAAGTGAAATCCTAGTAAGAGATAAAGATCACTAATTTGGGAAATAAAATGACCAACGCCCTCTGACGTAAAGCCAGGGATCCTCCATTGGTCGCAGAGACCACCCCATCGGCAAAGGATCTTTGATTATCAAGGATTTCCTGCGCATAGTGGTTCTGTCAAAACTCAGTATGCAGTAGGGGGACAATGGGAGGATAAGGACACATATGTAGTACCTTAATCAATAAAGAAAAAAAAGGAAAAATAAACCCAAAAACTCAGTATGCACAAACTACAGTTTCTGTAGCCCAAGGCCATTCCTGTGACCACCACGAGCACTGACCAGCTGGTGTCGGTCCTCACGCTGGTGTTCAGCCCGCCGTGCAGGTGGGCCTGAGGCTTTCCGCTGCTAGCACTGCTGCAAGGCCAGGTAACTATCCTCCCCCCACAAAACCACTCTGCTGACCTTTTGTACCAGCTTCTGGAAGCTCCTAAGATTCTGTAAGGTGACTTATGATTAAGTTTCACATTCTTGTCATTTTGTATTCTTTTAAAACCCTGCAGTTTTACTTTTATGAATTATATATACAGCAAATGTGCATAAAGAGCCATGAGGATATTTATTATAGCCCTATGGATCAAAGACAAAAATGAGAACCATTATGACTGGCTAACTATAGATTTACTCAGTGAAAAACCGTAAGGTCACCCTGGCCAGGTGGCTCAGTTGATTGGAGCGTTGTCCTACCCATCAAAAAATTGCAGGTTCGGATTCCTAGTCAAGGGCAGGAAACTGGGTTGCAGGTTCAATCCCAGGCCCTGGTCTTGGCAAATGCGGGAGGCGACCAATTGATGTGTCTCTCTCTCATTGATGTTTTTCTCTCTCTCTGTCTCTCCCCATCCCTTCCATGCTCTCTAAAAATCAATAGAAAAATGTCCTCAGGTGAGGATTAACAACAAAAATATCTTTGGGTGAAGATTAACAATAAATAAATAAATGTATTTATTTATTACAGTTTAGTAATTATTACACATGTTATGTTAATATTAATAATATCAACTTATGTTAATATATTTATATAATTAATAATTAGCATTTAATATAACCTATATTAACATACTATAACATTAATATATATTATATAACTTCTTGTAAGTTATAAAGATGATAGCTTAGTAGAAAATTTTGAAAATATAAAGATAAAGCAAAAAATATAAAAGCAAGCAAAAGGGAGAAAATAAAAGTAGTCTATCACCCAGAGGTCATTCCAACTAACATTTGGGAGCACACCCTTCCAGCATCTTCTGTGGCAAGGATGGCAGGCCGCTCACTTACTGAGTGCTGGCCGTGTGCCAGGCAAGGTCAAGCCCTTTACGTACATTACAACCTCCAAGGGACACTTATGCCATCGTCATGCCCTGTCCAGGGAAGGATGCCGAGGCACAAAGAAGTTAAGTAGCTTGTCAAGGTCGTGGCTGATCAGTGGGGAGAGCCAGGACTGAAGCCCAGGCAATCAGTCTTCAGAGTTCGTGTTCACAACCATTAAGCAAACTACCTCCTAAAAACTGTCTTACACCTGCCTTTTCTCTGCTAAAAATGTAAACTGGCATCATTTTGGGGAGTGATGCTTAGAATATTTCAACAGTATGGTTTTATATGTATTCTACAAGTTAGATCAAATTTTATCTGCGTATAGCTAAATATGTCTGAATAGATTGTTTTTCATCTCAGCTCTTGCCTCTTAACTTTATTGGGTGATTATTATCATTGTAACTGAAGAATAAATAGTAGGTGCCATTTAATCAACCTTTGAGGCAGGAGCCAAACACAGAGTTATGCTATTTAGTCCTCATGGATTTTAAATATCTTTTTATTGATTTTTAGAGAAAGAGGAAGGAAGAGGGAGAGAGAGAATTATCAATGAGAGAGAAACATTGATCAGCTGCCTCCTGCATGCCCCCTACTGGGAATTGAGCCCCCAAACTGGGCGTGTGCCCTAACCAGGAATTGAACTGGTGACCTCTTGGTTCATGGGTCCATGCTCAATCACTGAGCCACACCAGCTAGGCCAGAGAGAGGATTTTATCCTCACATTAAAAATGATGCCCAGAGAGATTACAAGCCTTGCCCAGGGCCACACAGCTGGGCAGGAGAAAGCAGGGATCCAAATTCAGGTCTGATTGGTTCCAAATCTTATGCTACAAATACCTATGTAGCCCTGCCTCCTCCCTATACCTTTTCTGGATTGAAAATTTAAAATACTACTGGCCCTGGCCAGGTAGCTCAGTTGGTTAGAGAGTCCTCCCAATACACCAAGGTTGCGGGTTCCATCCCTGGGTCAGGGCACATGCAAGACTCAACCAATGAATGCATAAGTGGAAAAACAAATCGATGTTTCTCTGTCTCTACAACTCCTTCTCTCTCTTGAAAAATCAATCAATCAATCAATAATTGAAATACTACCTAGATTCTGAATCATTATAAACTCTGACTTGAAATTCAAGTTGTGTTGACAGATGTCTACCTCTTTGCCCAATAAGAGCCCCCTAAGAGCCAGGGACACAAGTAGAAGACAGGCTGGCTGCCAAGCTCCATCCTCCTACCGGCTCTCAGTATTCCTGCCACCTGGTCACACATCTGGCCTTCACACCTACTGCTGGAGCTGGCCTCCTCTGACCACCTGCCTAGCTCCTCGAGCTGGAAGTGCTTCCCTCTGACCAAGTGCCAGCTCTTCCTGCCCACACACTTGCTCCTTCCCTGATTCCAGGCCTCTTCTTCCTCCCCTCCTTGACCCTGCCTTGATAACAGGCTTTGGCTTTGACCCATTCTTTTTTTTTAAAGGAGTGAATTAATCTTTTCTTTTTTTTAATGTGTGGTTTTTTTGTTTGTTTTCTTTTTTTATTTCTTGTTTGTTTTTATTTTAGAGAGACAGGAAGGGAGAGGGAGAGAGAGAAACACCAGCTACCTCCTGCATGCCCCCTAGTAGGAATCAAACCGGTGACCTTTTGGTGCATGGGTGGATGCTCAACCACTAAGCCACACCGGCCTGGCAGCTGTGACCCACTCTAAATCCTGTCTTACTTTCCACATTGGGCCTCTCTTCTTCTAACTTTGTTTCTCAATCTGCATCTCTGACCAACAGCCCCCTATTCCTTGGAGGCTGACACTGCAGTATCAAGCTTGCCATCCCTTCTTCCTGATAACCTCACACTGATCCTCCCATGAGCTGTGGGTCTATGGAATCACCTTTCTGACTTTGATATTGCTTGGGCGCTGTCCAGCCATAGAGTCCATCTCCAGGCTCCTCGTCCTTCAAAATGGTGTCATACTTGGATAGAGTTTCCGTGGCATAGATATCATCATCTTCCTCTTCCAGGGCACCAACACCAAAAGCCTTCAAAACAAGGTTTCAAACAGCAATTACAGGTTGAGAGTGTCTGCACTGAAGGATAAGCTACCCTAACAATGTAACTGAACAGACCACATTAGCACTGTAAATGCACCAAGTGAGAAGCAAATGGGAGACCCTGATGAATACAGAGACTCAAGTCCTTTAGATGTGAATGCCACGCCCAGCAGCAGCTATGGTCTGGGTCCTAGCACGGGCAGAGGAATGGAGAATGCACGCAAGCAGCAGCGCAGGAGGGGTATGGGGCCTCTAATGGAGAAAGGAAGGGTGTTCATCTGCTGTTCCGTATGGCTGGGACAGAGCTGGTGACCAGGGTCTGGAGACCACCACTACTGTATAGCCGCTGTAAGAACTCCTACTCTTTGTGGGAAATGATCTCCAAGTATCCCTTTCTGTTAAAAGAACTGGAAAAAACAATAATGACATTTCCTAAATGAAATTTAGGAAAGAACCTCTGAATCAATTTGAGAGGACAGGCAGTCAGGAAAAGCTTTCCATCTCCTCAAAGATGCAAAGCAAGTCTCCCATGGGAAACTTACACCTACACTCCCAACTTAGGGCTGGTGGCACTAGGAAATAGTCCAGAAGGTAGTCAAACTTGGACCTGAGCTTGGAGCGGCAGACTGAAATTCAACTATTAACTAAACCAAAAGGGTAAGTGTGGTTTTCTGCTCAGCCCCACAAGAGTGTGAAAAAGTAGTCCTCACTCCTGGGAACACACAAACTCCACCAAGAACATAGGTTACAGGACCTCAGCAGTAAATATTCAAACCACGTAGGTATCCTTCACTATCTTCAGAACAGGTCCTAAGGAAAATACACCACGCTGAGGTCTTCATGTAGTCAGTCAATAATGAGTGCCCTACTATGGGGCAAATATAATAAGGAGTATTCTCATTTGCCAACAGCTCCCTGTTTATAAGACAGAAGCACTTACCTGGCCTGAAATTCCCAACTTTCTCCCTTTATTCACTCCAATATCTCCAAGAAGATTGCTGGCTCCCTCGGGTCTCCCACTGAAAAGATTAAGATGTTCTCCTGAAGCTCCAAACAACGCCTGGTGGGGATCCAGACCCTTGTAAGCCAGTCCATGTACATTATCTTTAGGTGTGAAATCCACGGGCATGACGTCCTTGGGTGCAAAGGTCACATTTTCTAGCAGGTAGTCATCATCCTCATCCTATTTAAAAAGTTGGAATGAAGGTGAGTCACTTTCTGGCGCAAAGTAAGCTTATAAAATGCTACTTTCAAATGCAGTGATTCATTCCAAACAGAACATTTACCAAACTGTAATTTCCACTATTACAAATCACTACATCAAGTCCCTGAACAAATGATACCAACACAAGCAATTCCATTTTAACAGACTTGGTGTATCTATGGTGCTGGCAGGCGTACTGCTGAATACATTATCTGACATTGTGAGGACGGTTTTAGGGTATGGGTATTTCACTGCAATGGGACATGATTCATTTCAAAAACTGTTTCTGGCTTGGTAGGTGGGACTCAGTGGTTGAGCATCAACCCACAACCCAGAGGTCATCAGTTCAATTCCTGGTCAGAGCACATGCCCAGGTTGCCAGCTGGATCCCCAGTAGGGGGCATGCAGGAGGCAGCTGGTCAATGTTTCTCTCTCATCAATGTTTCTATCTCTCTCTCCCTCTCCCTTTCTCTCTAAAAAAATCAATTATATATAGATTTATTTTAATCAATTTGTAAAATTTCACCTCCATGAAGTAACAAATGCTACAGTCATCCCGTATAATACCTCAGATCCTTCTGAGCCTCCAGGAGGTAATGCACAGCCATAGATTTTCACTCCAGGATCTATACAAGAGATTTCAAATGCATCAGTCATGAGCAACTGAAAATACAGAAATCCGAGTTGCTGAAACTCTTAGAGGTACATGGCTGCCCTTGTAAAAGGCGCTACAGCTTTAGGGTTGGAGATTGATCACCCAGAAATAGTTTTCCCCCAGTCCTTGCCTCATCCACACTCTGGCAACAATGTGCTAAATGAGTAACCACTACTCCTCCAGCACTAGGGAGAACCTAAAGTAATTATTGCTGCTTCCAAGAGTTCATAGTCTGGCTGGGGAGACCAAGGGCAAGAAATAGAAAATAATCTTGTTAAATTGTGACAGTTTTGGCAGAGGCAGGAAACAGTTTCATATGCTCCTGATGGGAATGTAAACTAGTACAATTCTTCCAGACAGCTATTTCACACTACACACAAAAAGCCTTAACACCTGCATACCACCCAGCAATTTTATTTCTAGAAACATGTAGCCATTACAGAGTATTAGGGCCTGGCTGGTGTGTCTCAATGGTTGAGCGCTGACCCAGGAACCAAGAGGTCACCAGTTCGATGCCTCATCAGGACACATGTCTGGGTTTCGGGCTAGATCCCCAATAGGGGGGCATGCAGGAGGCAGCTGATTAATGATGTTTCTCTCATTGATGTTTCTATTTCTCTTCCCCTCTCCCTTCCTCTCTCTCTCTAAAAATCAATAAAAACATTTTTTTAAAAAAGTATTAGGGCCCTGGTTGGGTAGCAGAGTTGGTTAGAGCATCATGTCCCGATACCCCAAGGTTGTGGGTTCAATCCCTAATCAGGGCACATACAAGCATCAACCAATGAATGCATAAATAAGTGGAACAACAAATCAATGTTTCTCTCTTCCTCTCTCTCTAAATCAATAAATTTTTTAAAAAGTATTAGGATTAGGGTTAATGACAATCAATATACATACCAGGTTTTTGTCGGCGTGGTCTTCTCTTTACTCGAGGACCAATTCCTTGTCCTTCTTTCCAACCCATTTTTCTCAGCAATTCAAAACCAACAGATAATCTAGGATATCAAGGCATTAAAAATGAACTTCTTGCCGAAACCGGTTTGGCTCAGTGGGTAGAGCGTCGGCCTGCGGACTGAAAGGTCCCAGGTTCGATTCCGGTCAAGGGCATGTACCGGCGTTTCGGGCACATCCCCAGTGGGAGATGTGCAGGAGGCGGCTGATCGATGTTTCTCTCTCATCGATGTTTCTAACTCTCTGTCTCTCTCCCTTCCTCTCTGTAAAAAATCAATAAAATATATAAAAAAAAATGAACTTCTTTTTATAACACTAGATAACAGTAGGAAGTGAGCAGCCTTTGAGTTCCTGCCTAGCTCATAATCTTGTCCTACCTGAACCTTCCCCCCATTCATGTTAAAACTGCATGGCCTTGCCATTCTGGACATGCTCTGGATGACTGGACTTGGGGTGTATGTCTGACCTGGGGAAGTTGCTCAGACGTCTTTTCTCCTGAGCCCAGAATGGGCACATAGGGACTCCAGATGGTCCTTGTCAAGCATGGGGCCTGGGAAACCATGACATCTAAGGCTGTCATATCAGGCCACGTGCCCAGGAGCAGAACAAGGAGGTAAGCAGAATGAGAGAGTAGAATGAGGTTGGAGATCTAGAGCACTCCATGCACTAACAATGCAAGACCCTTTTGGGAAAACCCCCCTTTGCACTCGTTACGCTAAGAAGGCTTATCCTACTTGCAACCAAGCTTTCCCTAAGTAAGATCATCATATATATGCAAAGCAGTAATTTCAAGATCAGAAAAGTCAAAATTAAATTCTTCTCACGTTGCTGGCGTTATGAAGTCATCAAGCAGAGTGGCTCCAGGAATAGGGGCAGTAGCAGCTGCTAACTGCCTGGCCTTATCTCGTATTCTATCTTTGGTTTTGGAAGCAAAATCATCTGTGGTAACAATTGCTTTAGGTGCGATCCCAAATTCACTAAGATCCTTTAAAAAAAATCAAACAAAATTACTTCATTATTAGGGAAGTGATTAAACATGGTGCATCACGTAGCTTTAGTTCTTTAAAAAGTTAAGCCCTGGACAATGTTCAGTGTTGGGCCGTTCTCAGGATCAATTCCCAGCCAAGGGCATGTACCTGGGTTGCAGGTTCGATCCTTGGTCCTGGTTGGGGCACATACAAAAGACAACCAATGGATGTGTCTCTCACATCAATATTTCTCTCTCTCTCCTTTCCCTCTCCCTTCCGCCCTATCTAAAAATCAAATGAACAATATTCTCAGGTGAGGATTAACAAAAAACACACAAAAAGTTAAAACCACACAACTGGGTTTGGGATCAGGTGAGCTGAGG